GTTGCTTCGACAAGCGGCGATTAGCCGAAGGTATGGAAATCACTGACTGTCTATTGCAGATCTCTTGGAATAATAGTAACAATACTTACGAAAGCAATAATACCATTTATAACAACGCAAGTAAAGATTACAGTAAAAGTTACAGATATATTACTGTTAACTGTAACAGTAATCATTAGTGATGGCGTCTGAGCGAAATTTTATATCGGATCGGTCGAAATCCCATCGATATCTGACTTCTCATTATCCCAATAGTCGGATTTCCGACTGATCATTTAAACGGATCAATCGGAATCCCAACGATTTGACATCTTAAATTTTCGATAGTCAGTTGACGACCGACCTTTCAAATTGCTCAGTCGGAATCCAACCGACCTCCGGTCGATGCCATTGCTAGTCATGATGATATCAGTAACACTGATATTGATAGTAGTTTTGGTATAGTATTAATAATGGCGACTGTGTCAATGATACTGATAACGTTGATCGGAGTATTGATCACGGTTGATAGTATTGATCGCGGTTTTTAAAATCTGCCCAATCATAAGGTCATTCAGCATCATAGCGATATGATTCGCCCGGTTTGAAATCCGTACCGAACATGAGCCTTCAGCTTTGATATAAAATACTCACAGCAATTCTTCGTGCTAATTTTTAAGCACGGATAATTTTAGTCGTTACACTGTTGATAATCAGTTGCTTAGTAGAACGTCCTCGATAAGACGGCTTAAATTTTCAGGCCAATTACTCTATATGTTGCGAAAAGACCGTGCAATACGGATGATCACTCTGATATATTGTCCGGTCTGGCAAGCGAGACTATGCCCATCGATATATCGCTTTGGGTAGAGAGCGCTAAGTAAGTTTTATGATGTGAGATTATGATCTGTTCAGCGATCACATTTCTTAAAAGGTATCGAAGTTTGGACCGGAACGATAACAGTTTCATTTCTATCGGTCGATCAATTCATTGTAGGGAAGTTTGGAGCATGCAAGTAAGGCTGTAGCTGAGCTTTTTACTGGCTAGCCAACGTGTTAGTTTCTAGGGATTACAGCAGCACCTATATTTGATCATATTCCATGATTATATTCCACAATTTCAGTCCGTACTGAATAATCGGTGATATAGTTACAGCAGAGAATCCAGGATGGGAATTGAGTTTCATTTCTAAGGGTCTTACGAGCCTTTTCTCAGTGTGAGTAGGGACAGTCTTGTTAGAATCAAAGACTAGAATTAATCTCTAGTCAGCAAAAACTGTCGACTTATCCGATAACCAGCAAATTGTTTCCATTTACTCAGTTTCGTATCCATGACCGTCATGTATATCCCTCAAACTCATTTAAATATTATAATATCAAATCCAGAAGATTATTGCTATTGTCTCATTCAGGCAGAATACACTGAAACCGTTGAAGCCGTTTAGTATGGACGAAACGAGCTCGATGTTTGACGGTGGTGGAACGACTGGAGACCAAAGTATTGGCCCATTACATCTTCGTCAAAGGGTTCCGGTGCAAATCGGTCACCAGCCTGGAGCAGATTTTGAAGCTGGAGGTTGGTTTCTGGATCAGATCAGATCAGATCACAAATAAGAATAATGATCCGGAGGAGTATTCCATCTTATCACAAACATTTTAGCATTGATAAGAGCAATAGTAATAAAGATAATGAATTTCAACGCTACGGGTTTTTTGAGACTTCTCTTAGAGTGAGAAGCGACCGTCTTGTTAGACTTACTTTTTTGCATCAAATACCTTTTGATCATAAGGTTACTTCAGGTATCTATGCAGCTGAACGGCATGAGCTGATGTATGGAGTCCCTGGACCTAAAGCGGTGGATACGAATAGTAAACTGCGGGGAGCAGGTGGTACTCAGCCGATTGCACCCCCTAAACTGGCATTCATGAATGCGGAAGATGTGGCGAGAAGGCGAGAAAATGAAGAAAATGGTCAGATTCCGTTTGGAATGTTCGCTCATTTTCAGGAATCGGCTCAATAGGCGATTTCTTTCCTGAATAATTGCCGTGTGAAACATGGAATTTTCTAGTTTTACCCTGTTTTTCTCATCATACCAGTGGAAATTAATCGGAAAATCAGAATAGAATCGGAAATTGAACTCGGAGTCGACCGAAAATGAGATGGCGAGACAATATTCGCAAAATAACCGGCCAAACATGAATGATAGCAGTGAACTGTGATAATGGTGATAACTGGAGTGATGGCTTGAACAGGCTTATGTACGATACGTACAATACAGCTGAATAAATAAATAAACAGTGGAAATTACCATTTCTAATTTTCCATTTGTTCATCATAAGAAGCAAATTCCATTCCAGTTCGGATCACAATTTGGGAAAACTGTGATGTTCCAGATTTTTGGAATATTTATTCAGTTGATCTTATGGTCACTTTCGCTTCAAGTGATTGGCTCTTAATCTCTCATTTATCTAACTTGCGATTAGAATTTACGGATTTTCAGAGCAATTAGTGGACAGCCTAAATGTGAACATGGATCCGGTCATAATACTCAAATATATGGCACGACCGGAATCTGGCCTGCAGATTAAAAATCGAAAATGGCTGAAAATTCCCGTGCCCATGTCTTTTATTGGTAAGTCTGAATTGATAAGCCAGTCTCGAACGCTGTTTGCCGTCAAATAATACGTCAAAAANCTGTTTGCCGTCAAATAATACGTCAAAAATCTCAGATCATATCATATGAATCAATCTCAGATCAGATCATGTGAATAGCAAAAATTATTTATCTTTATAACGAATAACTGAAAAATAAACATATGGAGATAACCGTAAAAAGTAATATGCGCAAGATAATTTAAAGAATTGGATTTGTACCGCTATCGTACATGAATAATGACGGTTCGTCAAAAATTCAGGCCGTGAACTGGTCGATTGGCTACTGGATCATGTGCATGGCTTGTACGATCGTAAGGCGGCTCGAACGTTCGCGTCGAAACTCTTGGCCGATGGTCATATACGTCATGTGGTGAATAAGCTGACATTCACCGAAAAATGCTACTATGTTTTCGATGGTAAGTATCACAACTGAGCCCTCTCGATTGTG